AAAGCATGTAATGTCAAGAACGGACTTCGCGGTCTGCGCAATCATTGCGCGTTAAGCACCCGCTAAACGCCTTCCAATCTTGCTTACTATCAGTGACCGGCTACTGGGCCACCTTAGCGCTTTTGACCTCTTGCCAGCTTGTAGAATGCAATGGATACCTAGATTTTGACCCTTGTGTAAGGATCAACATACTAAGAGTGAGATGAGATACTTTGGGCCAATTTTAGGTGGTGTTTTGAGCCTGCGGCGAATATATTTTCGGCGGTACCCCAAAATGGCAATAAACGGGGTAGTGGGCCACCAGGCTAAATCGGTTGGTCGCACTCATACTGTGCGGCCCCGCGTGTTAGAAATTGTTCAGAGGGTCCAAGTACATGATTCTATACACTGAAAACATGGATTAAAGGCGTACAAGGGTAATAATAATTTTCAATGTCCGCACTAAAAATGGGTGAAATCGGGACATTGACAAAATCGCGCACATTACCAAGCACAGAGAGCAATCTTGGTCGAAACTGAGTTTCAGAAGGCTAAATAGGAAGCATTGGTACTTACTTAGGCACATTGGATGGTTCCTCCATACCAATAACTCTCCGAACAAAATCCATTTATTTCCGACCCTGAAATCGGGTGGTCTGGTGAAATGACCCACAGCGAACGTGAAGCTGAAGGGTAGAGGAGGAAATGGAGCTGGGAGGTCATTGATATGCATGTACCGAGTGCACATACCACATGCTACGGTCACAGCAATGTCAGGTGGGTCGCCATAGAGTGGTCTGTCTTGCGCCAACTGAGAGAAGGTTTCGCCATTCTTGAATGGGATAACGGGGGATTTCGGTTCATTCTGGCGTCAAATGTCCGTTGAGGACATTATTTGAGGCAGAGGTAACAAAACGAGCCCTCAAACTTGTGAATCGGCCAAGAATTGGCTGAGGAATGGGCAAAGGAAGAGCGCAGCATCCGTTCGGAGATAAGAAATGATCAATTCCCACCTACCCATCGGAACCAAACGGGGCACAGCTTTTCATCAACGCATCACTCCGCCTCAAAATTTGATGTACAACATCGTTATACATTGTACTTCATCCCACAAGCACCAAACCACGAACTTCTGCAACGTCGATCCCTGTATTATCCAAGTGGCCCACTACCCCGACTGGCCCAGTACCCAGTCGTTGATAGTATGTGTGACAGCTACGCCCATATAGATCTTTTATTTATTTGTACTTTCCTCAGTCGTTCCACTCATCGAAGTGCGGCTTAAGTATGCTCATTCTTTACTTTACCACTTACCTGTACTTATTTTGCTGTAGAGGCGATCCTGCGTTCTATTCTAGGTAAAGTAATATAGTCATTCTACTCATCGCAGTGCGGCTGAGATGTGATCCTGCGTTCTATTATAGATCTCTAATATGTAAACTCTGAGGTGCAAATGCTGCCAGAGAGGCGAGAACTCAGCTTTCAACATATCTATCACGGGATTGTGATGGACATGTGTGGTTCAAACTCCGACAAGCACTGCGCCGCACCGCGGCTCACAGATCTACTGCCGAATTGAATATATCAGACGGAACCTTTCAAGCCGGCTAGGTGGGATTTCATACTCCGACCGATAGCGATGAGGGTTGGGTGGCCGAAACAAGAACTGAACCGTATTCAAATATATTTGAATACGGGGACCCCAATATCATATTATATTCCTATCATATCATAATCATATTCAGTCCTATTCATATCTTTGGGGCAGCCCCAAGCCCGTATCGTATATGTATTCAACTAAATATATTCAAATATATTCACCCATATCATATTTTTGGCCAGCACTAGAGATGGCATGTGACACCCCCCGGCTATAGAGAGCCATCGCATTAGATCTCTCTAGGACCAGGACTCACTCGAGGTACTCATTAAAACTTGGCTTTCACGCTCCAAAGGTTTTCTGCCTGTCTCTTTCCTTGAGAAAGCCATACGGACCTAGATTCGCGGAACTGCGCCACTTCACGGATACTTAAATTCATCTCTCACTCGGCACGTTGGGAACACATCAACTTAGACGTTCCTGTCGATCACTTGACTGGATTACGGGCTCGCCCAGTATCTACAGACAAGGAACGCCAGCCGCTGAAACATTTTTTGACGATGCCCCACACTTGACGAGTGGTCGTGCTCGGCGGATCCTTCCAGTCATCCCGCCTGATCCTGCCATGGTCACGACTAACCAGTATTTGTGCTGCTGAGAAGATGAAACGGCCGTGGTGGCCGAAATTCTGCGGCAAGCTATTGCCCTTGTAAAGGAGCCGTACCATCACTTATTCATCTGGAATCATTGTGTCTACGTGATGGCTAAGTGGCGGGGCACCCAAAACTACTTCTCGATGCCCTCACCGCTCCGGCGCCTCCGACACCTCACAATCTCAGAGTATGACGTCGGGAAAGCACGCCTTTCCACCATCGCTGCATTTCTTTCCAGGTCACCTTTGTTCCCTCGACTCCCTTCGCGGAAAAAAGCAGATTATCATGCCGTTTTCTCCTCGATCGAAGTCATCAAAGTTTGCGAGAGTGCCGAGGACGAATTCAGATGACGATACGGATGAGGATGGGGATAGTGACGATGGCGACGACTAAGTTTCCTATGGTTGTAGTTGGTACGTCACGCACTTGACGCTTTCGTGCTCTTATTCAACTTGAATTCCCAATATTATAGTAGCTCTTTAGCCTCCGAGTCGATTCTTCGGTTCGCAAGCGTACGATCGACCTTTTCCGTTATGTCTTCTTTTGGAGCGAGTCCTTCATATTATGTACGCCCCTCGCCTCAGTTCATCATCCTTCTTCCACAGATAATATTCATTCTTTCTCATTCCGCCAATATTTTCTCCGCTTTTCATCGTTACGCCATCATATCTTGGAACGTAGGTGGCCATGAGGACGGGTAAGTTGGATTTATTTATTTATTTAAAGCCATGTTTAATGGTATACCGACTTTGCCCACTCGTTGGGCTAGCCTACTAGGCCCGACATTTAGTTATTTATTTATTTCCAAGTCAAAGTCTTGACAAGTATGAATTGAAGGCACTGGCATGGCACCAAAAAATTACCTCGTTGTGCGAATAATGCGCTTATGTAGATCTCGAACCCGCCTACTGGGCGTACTAGACCCGACATTTATTTATTTTCAAGCTAAAATCGTGACAAGTATGATGGCACTAAAAATTACCTCGCTTCCTGTGTCGTTGCGCGATCAGTAGATCTCGACCCCGCCTACTCCGAAAATCGCTGACGAAAAGTAATAAGGTCCATATTACACAATGATCTTGAAGTAAATCGTCAACAAGAGACATTACAATATTGTCCCCAACCGAGGGGAGAGCAGGGCGAAGGGGAAAAGAACTAAAGGAGGCCTCCCTATATACCCCTTCTTTACAAATTCCGAGGCTACACCACGGCAGCACCGTTCTATTAACGATACGATGTCCATGCCGCTCGTTGTTGGCGACGTGAACAAGTACAGTGGGATAGGTAGAGAAGTAACTGTGCAAGGGCAGGAGCGCACAGGAAGGGTGGTGAGATAAGTAAATATGTTCTGAAGCGCGCGGAGAAAGGATCGAAGAATAACAAAACGGGATGCGAGGAGGAGATTGGGCTGGTAAATAGATGAGGGCAAAACGGCATGGGAGGTATGTAGATAACAAAGGTCAAGACTGGAAAGTAGGGTAATGCGCGAAAAAGACATGGCAAGAGACATTGAGAGGGGAAGCGGCTGTCCCAGAGCGCACCTGCCTCCGTCCCTGGACCCATCGGAGGCCTATCCGCAGGGTCGCCGCCGCGCGCGCGGAGCCACGCCGCCAGCACCACAGCACCACTCATCCCGTCTCCGTATCCATCGCTCCTCGGGCGTTGGGGACGAACGCGCAAGCAGGTGCCGAGGCGGTGGGGCAACGTGGTGGCGAGGATGTAGATACGGGACGTCCAGGACGAGGCGGCGTGAAGTCGCATCCTGCGGGAAGGCGGCAGGTAAGCAAAGGCATTCGCTTGAATATCACGCGTGTACGGTGGGGGAGCGCAAGTAGGTGTGTCGATGCGTAGCCGGTAGTGCGCGCGGGAAAAGTCGGTAGGCGCGTCGCGTGAGACCGGCGCGGGGCGTGCAGCGGCGCAGGTAGTCGACGACCAAATGAGGCGGCGTCGCGGTTCGGGGTGCGCGTGCGGTGCGTCCGTCCACGTCCACAGCGGGGGTGGTATGCACCAAGTGCTGTTCCGTTCGAGACTCGCGCGCGCGGGAGCGTGCGGCGTTGGTGGGTGGCGCAGGTGGCCGATGGCCAAGGGGCGCGGCGCCGTTGCGGAGCTACGCGCAGGAGCGGGTAGACGCAGGCGGCGGCGTTTCATCCTCTTCGCCTCCGCGTCGTACGCGTCGTGACCGAGATCCACATGTCGTGCGAGAGACTAGATGCCCCCGTCCGAAATGCGCGCGCGGGAATGCCGGTATAAAAGGATATAGGTGGCTTGCGGAGATGGCGCGCTACGGCTTGGAGACCATCAGCCCGGTAGCGCCGTCATGAAAGGAGGAGCGTCTTGAGGAGATGTAGAGCGCGCAGGGGGTGCAACATGGCGTTGGCCACGGGGGCTTTGGCAGGGAATATGGACGTGGGACACGGCTGGCCTTCGGGTTGGTGGTGTCGCGAGACATACGGCGCCATCGAGACGCGGACGCCTAGCTCTGGGGAGCAAGGGCGAGTGACGCTACGAGTAGTTGGGGGACGACAGAATACAAGGGTGGCGATGAGTCCCACTGGCAGGAGCGCAGCGAACTCAAAATGCAGTTGTGGCAAAAATGGTGTGACATACCGTGACGGGTTGATCGGCAGCCGTCTATCGCTTTGACCAATGCGTGGAATATGATACTGGGTACATAAAAACAAGTTCGGAAAAAAATCGCCTGGATTTCTGGGGTGAATGATATTTATATATATTAAAAGAACAAAAAAATTAACACGCTGCAAGAAACATGCCCTCGGGAGGGTTCGAACCTCCGACTCCCACCGGACCTATTCAGATGCCCCTAAAAGGAGTGGTTGATTTACCATTAATCAACGAGGGTTTTATACCCTTGCAATGGACTCTGATATTGCTTCATCTGAATTGGCAAAAAGAAAAAACTCTTCTCAAGTCCCAGTGAACATCCCTCTATTTCCAGACAATGCAATGTGCACAGATCTTTTTTTTTTAAAAGGAACAAATGTCGAGTGCCCCGTAGACCTCAGTGCTTCATGTGTAGGAACATAAAAAATACCATCATGCCCCCGGGAGGATTCGAACCTCCATCTCCCATTCCAATCTTCGATTTGGATCAATCTCTGTGGGCGATTTACCATTTAATCAACGTAGACTTCATACTTCTTCAATGAACCTTGATACAGCCCTATCTCAAGCTCCGAAAAAAAATGTCTTCAAGTTCCCGCGTGCTCAGAAAAATTCCGTATCTCGCCTGTAGATAGAACTATTTCCGGCCATAGGAATATACGCAGATATTCATTCAAAAAATCAACAAAATGCCGTACCACCTTTCGCGCTTGGCTGTTTCTCTGTAGGAGTGGAAATATATTCACAGCTCTCGCACCATGCTCCCGGGAGGATTCAAACCTCCATCTCCCACTGGATTCGTAACCTTCAATCAACGAGGGCTGTGTGCCTTCTGAATGAATCTTGATATAGTCATTACCTCCTCCAAAACCCATTATTTATTTGAGGTCTCAGACAACGCTGCGAGATCCATTCAGTTGGTTCAAAAATCCAACCCAGCACCCAAATAATTCTCTTTTTTGAGATCCACTTGGAGGTCGATGCGGAGCTGGGCGAATAAAAGCACAAAAATACTGTAGCAGTCTCTGTATGCCTGCGGGAGGAGTCGAACCTCTCCGGTATCTCGAACTGCCGATGGCGATTTACCATTTAATCAACGTTACCTCAGTGAAATTTAGATCAATCATTCTGTCCCTGATTAATCCCTTAAATTTTGAAAGAATGCCAGCGCTGGAACCTTATCTTTTCAGTGCCTTATAATAATATGTAAACAGCGGCCAGAACACATTCCCAATGACATTCAGAACCCACGAAAAAATCTCCGAAACCCGTAGACGGCCGTGCCGCTTGTCGGCCCTACCATCCTTATATAGAAAACCGCGTTTAAATTGAATGGTTCAAATATAGAAAGTCGAACTCCTTCTGCCCAGAACTGCAGGAGTACAATGCATTATATTAGTGCACTGGCATTGATATAGCTCTTGTATTCCTTCTTTACTTCGATTAAAAATGACACCTGTGACGCGGACTGGAACGTCGAGTCAAGATTAGTTGATGACTATGCTAGCAGGGGCGGGGGCCTGGGTCTTGGCGCCCGGGTCTGTCACACCGAACTGGGAAGCGCATCCGTCGCACGGGGAGGGCTGCAACGCGTCCTCGTCGTTAGTACTAATATTAAACTGTTAACCATGGAGAACTCACAAAGGCGGCGGTTCCCTTCGCGGCTGCGGCAAGACACGCGGCATTGAACGGGGTATCTGAAGGAAGAAGTAGTTAATATGTATGTATTAATTCTGCGAGGGGCATTGATACGCACTGGCTCCTAGCTGTGCGACAGCCGGTGCGCACAAAGGAAACGAGGGCTCGAGGGCGACGACACAAGCTGAGAATTAAATGAATTACAGGAAGAGGTCGAGCACAGCGGGAGAGACGTACCGTTGATGTCGCACGCGCTAGCGCGGGGACCTACAGCGGCCGGAAAACCAGCCCCGGGAGCCTGATTGTTGGTTGCAACAGGGTTGGCACCTCTCGCAGGGGCGCCATTTGCAGTTGGGCGGTTCCCATTTCCCTGCGCGTTGTTGGCGGGGTCGGGGACGCCGAACTGCGGGCGGGGACCTACAGCGGCCGGAGAACCAGGGCCAGGAAACTGATTGGTGGTGGAAACAGGATTAGCGCCGTTCGGAGGAGCGGCATTTGCATTTGGGCGGTTCCCATTTCCCTGAGCGTTGTTTGCGGGGTCGGGGACGCCGAACTGCGCGCGGGGACCTACAGCGACCGGAGAACCAGGGCCAGGAGCCTGATTGTTGGTTGCAACAGGGTTAGCGCCTCTCGCAGGAGCGCCATTTGCATTTGGGAGGTTCGCATTTCCTTCCTGCGCGTTGTTGGCGGGGTCGGTGGCGCCGAACTGCGCGGCGCATTGGGTGCACGCAGGAGGCTGCAGATATTAAGGAAATTACTGGTGCTTGCGCTGGAAACACTCACGAAGGCGGCGGTGCTTCTCGCGGCGGCGGCCAAGCATGCAGCGTTGAAAGGGGTGTCTGGATTATCTGTCAGCGGTGTCCATGGATATAATGAAAACCAGCGCGTACTGGCTCCGGCCTGCGCGACGGCGGGATTGCACGCCGTGGGGAAGGACGGCGCGAGAGCAGCGACACAAGCTGAGAATTCATAAGTTGCAAAACAAAGTGGTGGGCATCCCAAGAGACGTACTGTTCATATGACATGTGCCGGCCCGGTTGGAAAGAGGTTTAAGGGGAGCAGCAGAGCCACTAGTGGCGAGGACGGCGAGTGCAACGAGAGAGAACTGCATTTTGCGAAGCATTATAAAAATTGGGGTGCTGATTAGGCTGGTGTGGATGGAAAAGAAGAATAAGCTTCAAGTTATTGAGTGAAAACGATTCAAAGGCAAGTGTGGAGAGTGGATTGATGAGCCAGGTCGGTCGTGGCTCCGCTTTATAAAGTAAGGGCCACACTTCGCTCGATTCCAATTTAGCACCCTTGATGCCGGTACCCGCAAGAAGCGAAGGAAGATGAATGGTTGCCTCCAAATATTGCTGCGCCGCAGTCGAGGGCGCAAGAGGTCGGTCAGTGAAGCGAACGGCGAACGTTCAGAGTCGGAGGCAGTGTCACGATGTTGCGATCAAAGGCGCGATGTCGTGGGGCATTTCTTTCCTTCTTGAGGGTTCAATCTCATCATCAATATCTGCTGGACAATGCAGGAGAGCTGCATTGTCATTGGTGTCTTAGTTTCACTCTGTAGAATATTCCCCATGCTTGTACAAAATTGTAAATATTTCATCTGCGTTTCCTTTAATTCGTGGTTTACGTTCCCCGTTGACCCGGGCCTCGAATAAGTCTGCGGTTGATCGCACACCCGTGGCTTCTTCGCCGCAACGCGACAATATACCGGAATCGCCTTTTTGGGAACCAAATGGAGATGAGCGGACTCGAATAAGTCTGCGGTGATATGCCTGCGGTGCGGCTAAGAGCGGAGCTAAAACAAAATAAAGGCGATAGGTGCCAGGTGTGTCAGGGCTGCTCAGAGGACCGCAAGACAGTGTAGTGATGTGCGAGGGATCCTAACAAGGTCAGTGCTCGCCAATGCAGAGGGGACAGGACGTAGGCTGGTTTTATAGCAACTTTAAAGGCTGCTCGGAGGGACGATAGAGGACGACGAAATACGACGGGAGAGCGACGAGGACTATAGCAGAATCGAATAAACTTGAACTGGAGGGGAAAACCTTCGTTGTTATTGTGAAATATCTAGCTAGCTTTTATACAGAGCCCAAGAAAAGATGAGTAAAATAAAACTACTAAATAAAGCGTCCAAATGGTTGAAACTGTAGTTGAACCGGGTAATCAGTAACCTGTAGTCCGTGTATAACAAAGCAAAAAACAGGTAAATTAAATTTGACCAGTCAACGAACTCGTGCTAATGTCAAGAGGAAATGAACGGGAAATTACAAATGTACCCGGTGTGTGAACATGCGGCGGGCTCGGGAACTATATCGGGGCAGTGTCGGTGTTGTTGGGAGTCGGCAGAATAAGTCGGCGAGGCTGTGGCGACAGGTTGAACGAAGTTGAACCATGGCATAGCCACCAGTTCGGATCAGTAACCAAATTTAGTATGGTTTCGCGATCAGCGTGGGAGCGTGCCCATCAGCGGTTGATCGCACACCGTGGCGTCTTCGCCGCAATACCGAATCACCTTTTGGGGAAAATGGAGACGATCACCATACTGCGGACTGATTGGTTCCACGAATGAGCAGTGCTTGGTTCGATATATACCAGGAGAGTTGGAGCAGGTAGGGTGCCAGATGAAGTGCGACGGGAGCGCCGGAAATATAGCGGCAATGCAAGAGATATGCCGGACGGGTAGTCTGGTGGGTTGAAGTGGGCTGCGACGGCAACTAGTCCAAGCGGGTTAGGAGTCGCTGGGGGCGGGGCAGGTGCAGGTGCGCAAAGGTGGCGGGGATGTGGCAGAGAAGATCATGGTGCTAAAAGAAGCCAGGAACACGTTGATAGCGACGCATGCGCATACATCTCAACGCGCCGGCGCACGCAAACATACGTCGCCCCGGGGGTGCAGCACGGCATTGGCCATGGGGGCTTTGGCGGGGAATAGGGACGTGGGACACGGCTGGCCTTCAGGTTGGCGGCGTCGCGAGGCATACGGCGCCATCGAGACGCGGACGCGAGGGCGAGTGACGCTGCGAGTAGTTGGGACGCGCGGTGCGGAAGTGTGAGGATGGGACGTCGTCATCCCACACGCGCTCCCTGCACATGGCTCCGCGAGCTGAGCGACAATCCTTAGACGAGCCTAGAGACAGTCCCCGAATGCGAGGCCGGGTTGAATCCAGTACTGACAGAATACAAGGGTTGCGATGAGTCCCTTGTGGCAAAAATGGTGTGACATACCGTGACGGGTTGATCGGCGGCCCGGGCCGGCCGATCAAGCTATCCATCGCTTTGACCAATGCGTGGAATATTCGCACGAGGGAGACAAAAACAAGTTCTGAAAAAATCCCCTGGATTTCTGGGGTGAATGAGATTATATAGAAAAAAAAGAACCAAAAAAATCAACAAATGCCAAGTATGTCCTCAGTAGGGTTCGAAGCTCCATCCTCCGCGCGACCAGCTGGGTAATTAGATTGTGTGTAGAACGGCGAATGAATAGCAACCGTACTGCGAATAAATAAACCAATTTTGGGAATCTTGTGCAAGAGCAAATCGGCCGATATGTTTCCAACATTCCAACTAGAATATCCAGCTTTGACTGCGTGAAGGTTTAATCACTGAGCTTCATATCTCTTCAATGACCCCTGATATGCACCCGTGAGACAAAATCCCTTCAAGTTCGTCATGCGCTCGGAAAAAAATATACTAGTAACCTGCCCGATAATATGGTCTATTCATTGGAATGTGTACATATATTTTAAGAAATCAACACATATGCATGTACACCTGTTGGCGAACTTCGCGGCTTCAATTTAGAATACAAAAACACGTATATCATGCATGATCATCGCTCGATCTATTGGGACATACCGAAGCCTTCTACGAATTTCTGCCTAAGGAAAATATAGTC